ACTCATCATCATCATTCCAAACTATATTTCCATCACCTAATCTTCTAAGACATCATGTGGTCCAAATACCTTATCTAAAGATATACATATGATATCAAGTTTATATGAATTTTCTTAGGAAAGTTAAGACAATTATCTACATCTTCCATGTTGACCACAAGAGTTAATTTTTCCATCTACTATTTTTTACAAATTACAAAATCATAATGTTTCAGTCTAAATTTGACAATCTGACCTTTGCTCACTAATTTTATTGTATCTTGAGTTTAAACCTTCTTTTTAGGTGATTCCAATGGAATTTGAAAGGTAACATCCAAAGCTACAAATTTCATGAAGACCATAAGACTTGGTTCTAACAATATCACACCCGAGATAATGATTAGTGCGTATGGCGCAAAAAGGATCACAAACTCTCTGTCACACCTATGCCCGACGTGATTGAGGTTTGCTAAAACTTGTAGGAAAAACATCAAATGGTGCCCAACGTTAGTCATTTGACAATCGGTGTGACATCAGTTTGTAGGAGACCTACAAACTCTGCGAAAGTCACACAATGTAAACCCAAAATCCCAAAAATTCAAACCAATCGGTAAAAATCATGATTAAAGCTTAATATTACTCCATTATTTATACCATCATTTACTCAAATTCAACCCCAATTTCAAATACTCATGCAATTAATAACCTCAATCTTCACATTACTCTATAAATAAGATTTTCCTACAAGAACTACAAGCAATCCAAAATCATGCAACTACATGCCAAACTCAAAAATTACAATCATATACATACAATTGACATCAATTAGAACATACAAGAAAAAATAGAGAAGATAAAGGCACATTTGGGAAGACCCCTCATACACAAGACATATAATAGAGAAAATAAAGAAGAGATTGAGGATCAATCCCACTACCCAACATACATCCAACACCCAAAGCAAGAGTATTCACTCCCTTTTTACCTCGATGAGTGCTAGAAGATGGACATATATCTCTAAGATGTTCTCTTATGAGCTCTGGTTTTTCCAAGCCTTCAGAGCGTAAATGCACGATAAGAAAGAATGAGAAACGTAAAATACAACTATTTAGAAACCTCTCTTTTTAAAACTCAACTCCCTCTTAACCCAACAATTAAAAATTTTAACCCTAGTTACAAAAAATTTCCCTCATTTAATAAAATAAATAAATCAATTAATTATAAACATTAAAATATATCCATATACATATAAAATAATTAAAATAATTATTAACATCAACCCAATTAATTATAACAAAATACAATAATAGTAATTAACAATATATATATATATATATTAAAATGTCATAAAACACATATTTCTTCAATAAATATGATACAAAATAATTTTCACAAATATTTATTATTTAATTAAAATACTTATAATTATTAAAAGCCTCTAAAATATTTTATAAAATTCATTTAATTAATTAAAATAATTATAAGAAAATAACCTTAATAAATATAAAAATAAATAATAATTAAATGATTATATTAGTAGAAAATCTAAGGTCTTACAATTCGTCTATGAAGGGAGAGTATATTCATATGCATTGTTGTGTGCATACTCTGAATTTGATTATGAAAGAAGGTTTCAAAGATAACATTGATGTTATTTTAAGAATTCATGGTGCTATGTAGTATATACAATCTTCCCTTTCTAGGTTGTCTAAATTCAAGACATGTGTTCAGCAACAAAATATTGAATATAAAAGACTTGTTTGCTTGGATGTGAAAAGCAGATGGAATTCTACCTACTGATTGAAACATCATAAGACTTTTGAAGAGCTTGAGATGCAAGATAAGAAATATATTGAAGAGTTAGGAAAAGGTAAAGAGTGTTCCTTCATATGGTGGTTGAGAATTTGTGCGCATAATCCTGTCATTTCTAAAATTGTTTTCTGATGCTACTTTGCATATGTCTAGTTCAGTTTATGTAACTAACAATATGTACATGTTTGATGCCTTTGGAATTAGCAATAAGATCAACCAAATGTGTAATTATAAGGATATAAGTGTATGTACTATGGCTGGAAATATGAAGAAGAAACATGATAAGTATTAGAACAATGTTGGTCTCCTAAATATGTTTTTACTTATTACTCTTGTAATCCGAGATACAAACTATAGTTCATGCATTGGTTGATTAATCAAAGTTTTGATGGTGAGTTGGCATCTAGTTTGAAAGAAAAAGTCAAGTCTAGTTTGAAATTACTTTTTGAAGAGAATAATGGTGGAAGAGATAAAGGAGAAGTTAACTCACAAAATGTTTGACTCAATAAAGGAGGTAGTGATGACCTTTATGGCTATACCCATTTTTTTACAATCAACTAGCTCTAATAAACTTGAATTAAACAAATATTTGGAAGAAGCCTTAGAAAAAAGCCACATAAATTTGGATATTTTGAATTGGTGGAAGCTTAACTCGAGTAGATTTTCCAATTCTCACAAACACGACCAGAGATTTGATAATTAAGTTTTCTTTTTTTCATTTTGCAACAAATGTTTTCCATTGGATGTTACTTATTCGACCTCCTCTATTAAGCTTGGTGATTATTGAAGATGAATTATTTAATTATTGATATGGTTTGAACATTGTAATTCTTTATGGTTCAAGTTGCTTTGACTTAACTGGTGGGTATTTTAGTGGATATAATATGACCATAGTGATTAGTTTGTGGATATTTTGAATTTGATATTTTAGTGTGACTTGAAAGATACAACTTTAGTTGAAAGTCACAAAGCCAATTAAGCAAATAATTGGTAGAATATTTTGAATTAGATATTTTCAAGTTTTTTTTAAGAATTAATATATATATATATATATATATATATATATATATATTCTAATTCTTGATAGTGTTGTGAATTATTTTCATGCATGTATTTATTTTTTCAAGTTATGGTCTATTTTTAAAGTTCTTTTTATTTTTGCATGTGGACATCACATACATGATGCAAACAAGTAAAGTAACATAACTAAGAGATACTAATTTTCCATTATCCAAATGCTAAGAGATCTTTGGTAATTTGTTTTATTTGGTTAAAAAAATCTGGTTTAAAAAAACTATTAAAAAAATCTGATTTTAAAAAAACTGGTTTAAAAAATCTGATTTAAAAACTGATTTTTAAAATCTGGTTTAAAAATGTGTTGAAACTCGATTTTTATCATATCCATTTTGAAAACAGTTTAATTCATAAAACTTGATCAAAATCAATTCAAAACTGATTTAATGAGGTTCGGTTCCAAATCAAATTGAATCAGTATATAT